CGCCATGCATAATCACGACTTATTTTTTCGGGAGTCGTTGAAAGCGCATGAAATGAGAAACATTTTTTTTTCCCGCGTCCTCCATGGATGAAAAATTCAAGTCTGCCGAGAAAACATCGTAATTTGCCTCAGTTCGAGACAGTCGCAAGCAGTCATTTCCTCAAGCTGGGGGTCTTTATTTTTCTATGCTTCCTGGGAGACTTTTTCGTGCCAGGTTGCTGCTCAAGCGGTTACTCCAGCGCTCAGAGATTCTGCTTAGAAGACGCTGCCAGACTTAGCAACGCATCCTCACTATGTTCCGAATTTCGACTTAATGTTGAATTTCGACTTAATGTTTAATGTTGAAAGAACCTATGCACGTCACCATATCCACAATACTTGAAATGAAGAACGAAATTATATGTTTTCGTGAATGCAGGTGCAATCCTTGGTCTAGGATAGCATTTATAGTTGCTTACATTCGTAAGGTAAGCTAGGAAACGGTGGATTGCTGCTTCTCTTTTAGAGTGCCTAGATTATTGAACTAAAATATTCCCTTTAAAAATGATGCTGATGAAACTCCCTGTTGCCAGGGAGATGCCTGCAAACTATTTTAAAATTCCTCCTCCCCCCTTCAAAAAAAGGCAGGGGGTATCGTACCCCACGTGCAGATATATCCCGAATTCATTAATAATAATAAAAACATATAGACCGAATTCAGCTTTTGCAACGTTTAAAAAACTTTCTGGATGGGGGGGGGGGGCTGTTAGCTTTCTTGTTTGCTTAACAATACCTTTAGTTGTATGACTGAAACGGACATTCTTGCCCTCAAAAATATCGAAGAGGAGGCTTGCATAAATTCATAAATTTGGCTCCTAACAAAAATGCATCTCGGAAGTGGGATCTGTACCCAAACAGTACCCAAACTCAGTTCCCCAACAGCTACTTGTGAACCAATATTAATTTTCCTAAGTCTGGCTGATCCGCGAAAAAAGTTTTTGGAAATTTGCCACCCGAAAAAATGTCCCTTGGGGAATAGACCTCAAAAGTGTAGTGTGATCTTCCCTGAACTTAGCACCCCTAAAACTTCTTGTGTGTCAAGTTTCAACTTTTTAATATATACCTGATCGTCTGGACGTAAATTTTGTATCCAGAAAGAGAAGTTTCTAGAGTCTTAATCAAGGAAAGTCGCGAAATTGTAACTCTTGACGAGAATAAAACTTTATTTTTTCGTAGTTATTATTCATTTTGAACTCACAAAAAAACTATTATTTTTTTATTTTCACTGGTACTGACTCAACTTCTCCGTAGAACTCCACCGATTATGCCCCTTTTTCTACCGCTTTACCACGAAAGGGATTAAAATGTCGCACTCGAATTACGAAGAGAGAATGCAAGTTGTTTCGCGGATGGATGTACATCAGTGCTCAAGTGCAAAAACATTTTGGGACGCAATTCAACAAGGAACCTCGAACCGCATCCAGAAGGCTCCCAGAAGGCAGTCAGAAAGCTCCCAGAAGGAAACCAGAAGGCCCCATGAGATTTTCTATGAAACGGAAGTCGGTTAGAAAGCGATTACTTGTCATTACTTGTCACGGTACCTCTCACCGTGCTTGAATGGTGCATTCAAGCACATAGAAATGTGTTTAAAATGACGCCACGGTAAAAACTCAGGGGTGTAATTCAGTGGCGTGCCAGTACTGGGGGAGTACTTGAGGCCTTCCAGAACGGGGCGATCCAACACATTCCCGTTTCATGGGGCCTTACAAGATTAATATATAACATTCAGGAACTCCTACAATGGATCTAAAAAAGTCCCTGTACTTGAAAGGAGTACTCGTGCACCTCCATCCCCATTGTACTTTCTTCCCGATTCAGGTGCGGTATTATACCGCACTTACCATACGTATTTATCATATTATATTTACTTTCGTGCCCTGTCATCACTCACCCGCATTGGAAGCAAGAGCAGAATCAGTTGAGCTGTGAGAAACTGAAAAAAAAATCAGTGAAAAGGGGAAAAAGTTAATTCAAAAATAGAATGTGCCGTATTGGTTCCGAAGAAAAAATGTGGTGAGCCCGAAAAAGAATTCCTCTTTTATTTTTCCACGAATTTTCAACTTAATGGCTTTTGCAGTTAAGCCTCCAAAAAGTTTTATTTTTGCAAATAAACATTGTGTTCATCCTGAAAGCAATTGCAACTCTTTAGCTTTCTAATAGATTGTTTTTTTTTTTCTACCATACAGGCATGACAAACTAAGAAGAAAACAAGTCGAAATTAGGCATGCGTCAGCTCGAACATTGGGACCGCCTTCTCCGAATTTGGCGCCTATAAATCAACATATTTTCATCAGGCAGCAATGCAAGAATTTCCTGCTTTGCGATTTCGGTTTCCGCAGCTGCTCTCACGCGCGCGGTTCGCTTCGGTTCGCCTCGGTTCGCCGCGGTTCGCCTCGGTTCGCCGCGGTTCGCCTCGGTTCGCCGCGGTTCGCCTCGGTTCGCCGCGGTTCGCCTCGGTTCGCTGCGGTTCGCTGCGGTTCGCCTCTGTAGGGGCTGTGCAATCTCGGAGCGGGAAGGAGTCGAGAAACGCTCAAGGACGATCTCATTTCTCATGAGTTGAGTGCCCTTATGAGTTGAGCGCCCTTCGATCGCCGGGAGGGATTGCTTCCACTCGTTTTCGCCCGCTTTTTAAATTGCTCCGTCGATTATTATTATTATTTTAAGAAATCGTCGACATCCGTCGCAAGAAAATCTCTCGGTTTCGGGGATTCCACCGATGCGCACATGATTTTCCTTTCTTTCCCTTAGAAAATGTTTGGCCCCACAGCTCTCCGTAAGTAATAATGAGTATATACTCATTATTAATTACGGAAATCGGCCATTAATTATGACAATTAATGGCCGATCATTCATGGTGGCCAATGTAGTGGTCAACTTTAAATCAATTAATTTACTGTCAATTCTTGGTCGGTCGAGAGTCAATTAGCGGTCAATCAATAAATGACCAATGGACGGCCAATTAATGACAGATTAAAAGTTTACTTATGGTTTCTTGAGGTTTCCGCCTCGGCACTTCGAGGGCACTTGGAGGGAGGTCATGTGATGACCTCCCTCCAACTGCTGAGATTCGTCGACTTCTCGATCCAATTTCTGGAGCGAAAATCGACAGATCCGCGCGGTAAGAGACCTTTGGAAAGGTTTAAAGGTCAGAGTTCCGAATGAAAAAGTGAAATGCTACATGTAAATCGCGGAACTTCCGAGGAAATCACCCGGGAGAAGTGAAATGGAGCACGTGAGGTCGTGGAATGATAAGGCGCTTCCACATCATTCCCGATGCTCTCATCGGTCAGGGACGAATTCAAAGAATGACGGTGACGATCACGGTGACGGTGACGGTAATACTGGGTGGATCGAGGAGCTTCCTGGGAAAAATGGGAATTCGCCGGGAATTCGGCTTCGGTGGGTGCAGGAATGCATGGGATTCCCTCCGGTTCGTGGAAAATGGTGCCATTTCAATTCCCTGTGAAATGGCTTTTTTTTAAATAATGGAATGGCTCGATGGGAAGAGGAACCTCAAAAGTGATATGTGAGAAAAATTATAATTCATCATTTGATTTTGTAAATTGATGATGTCAAATCTTGAAAAGAATTCCACGGGGTAAAAAAAAAATTGAAAGTTTTCTTTCAGACATCTTTCTGCCTGCGTCACATTGCAGAAACGCAACCGTGTCCCATTTCTGCCCGAAACATCTCCGCAAAATCTCACTCCTACGGTCGACCCTGACGATATTGGCACACGGAAACCCTTAGCCCTTTGACACGAAGGCCACCGATGAGACAAATTGAAGCAATTTTTTTTTAAATGTCTAAGTCAGATGTGGTGAATGCGATCTGATTTTTTGTCCTATATCCGGGAAGCAGCGACGAAATTCGACTTTCTCCGCGTTTTGACTTGGAAAAGCCGCTATCGCCCATACCCTTTCTTTCAGATTCGGGGAAATTTCGGTTTTGGAAGAATTCAGAATCGCCCATATTCTGATTCACCTTTCACCGAAGGTGCGAGCGAAGGCCTCGCAGAAAAAAAAAATTTTTTATAAAGGGTCTTTTACGAGCGGATGGGGAAAATTTTCAGCATGTTTAGGCTTTGTTCGTATACATTTGCCCTTTTTTTTTTTAAAGGACTGTATATCCTCGAGCTATCAATATCCCAGCGTTAGTTCGCGGATCCTCGCGAAACCGTCAGAATACCAGCAGAATGCGAGTTTTCCGCTCCGAAAATCCCGCCGATTCCAGGATCATCCGAATCCACCTGAAAATTCGAATCTCATTAGATTTCTCCTCATTACGCGCGGAAAAAAAAGGGAAGAAGAACAAGTGGGTTTGCTGCGAACAAGAGGGAATTTCGCCTCCGAAATGGCGGAAGCGGAAGAGGAAGGGAGCCAGGACCTGGCCGTATCAACAAGGGGCTTCCGCTGGAAGGCGGCCAAATTATTATCTTAACGGGACAGCGGAAGAGAGAATTCTCCCCCATTACATTCATGTCTTCGGCCGAGGAAAACGAAGACCCCGGAATTGGGGGCGAGTAATTACGCTTCGGATTTTCCGAGATCCCCCCCCCCCACAAAGGGCGAAAAAATTCGATTGGGGTAATCCCCGGGCCGGAAGAGACGCACGGGAATGATGCCCTTCCTCAAGGGCACGCCGGCCGTGACGTCAATGATGGCTTCTCGGAAAAGCAGCGGAGAAAAAGAAAGGAACGGCCGACCGGCCACACCGGTCCGGCGAGGCCTCGGGGTATTTCCCTTTCCATCGCGAGGAATCGGATCCGAGCCGGGGGAATCCCCACCTGGTCGAAGACCCAGCGCGACGACAGGGTCGGGGATCCCCCCCTTCCGTCCCTTTAAATACCGCCTCCGTCCTCCCTTCGACCACCAGACAAACTCTGAGCTTCTTCAGCCTCCAAGCCTCCTCCTCTCGAGTCTTGCCTCGTGCGACTTCGTCGTCCACTCTCGCATATCATCATGAAGTGCCTGTTGGTGAGTTTTTCTAGGCTTCGCCCGCTTTTCCTTAAGGTCTCCACTTTTTGCTCTATTTGAGCGTTCTCTGGGATAGATAGTTTACGAGGACTCTTCGTAATCTTCAATATGAATCAGCTTGAGCTTTCCCATATTCGATAATCAAGCATTACGAAACTCGAAAATAGTGTTATATATAAAAACTCGTTTTATCGAAGCTTATTTTCCCCCCTAGAATATCAATACATCAGAAGCCTTACGTGTAATTAACATTACTCATTCCTCTTGTATGAATTATTCACAAGTATCTTCTTTTATTTCAGGTCGTTGCCGTTATCTTGGGAGTAGTTTGCCTCAGCTCCGCCTTCCCCTACGCCTATCCCAATTTTGGCGTTGGTGGGGGCTCCGTTGGGGGCGCCTACGGCGGATCCTTCGGGGGTAGCAATCCCTTTGGAGGCAGCTACGGTGGGAACTACGGTGGAGGGTTCGGTGCCACCCAGGGAGGACTGGGTGGGTTCGGTGGAGCCGGTGGAAGCAGCTACGGCGGGGGATACGGCGGAAGCTTCGGTGGTAGCAATCCCTTTGGAGGCAGCTACGGCGGCAACTACGGAGGTATGATGAGATGCCTCTTCTCGGAATTCCATCGAGGAATTCCATCCAATTCCACTGCATTGATGAAACGCCTAAATGCATTTTTCCCCTCTCTCTAGGTGGCGTCGGTGGGACTGGCGGCTACCTCTACGGGTGAACCTCAAGGAAAATACCAAAGTCTTTCAGTGTGAATGCGACTCGGCGTGACTGAAACTTGCGAGTATGGATCTCCTCAATGAACAATGGCAATAAAATCGCGAGTGTGAAAGGACACACGACATGGCATTTTATTCTTCCCGAGTTGATAAAGAGACGAAAAGGCATCGTCCCGGTTTAGAGGGACGCCGAAATAAACAGAGATAAACGCCGATCGCGATCTAACAGATTCGCCTCCATTGAGGCTGAGCTCTCGCCTCCTTCCGAATTCTCGAAGAGGTCAATCAATCCTCGGAATCCAGCAACCTCAACCGGTTGTAGGACTCCGAAGCATCCAACCTCGATCCGGTTTTCCCTTCTCGCTTCCCCGGCAACATCCCCACGAAGGTCCGACTAGGACCTGATAGACCCGGTATCGATGTCACATCGATCGATGCGGCATCGAAGTCTTATCGACCCTTGGCGAGCGATATTCCACGGTGAATTTTACCGGCAGTGACGGGGGAATAATGCTTTTCAAATAATGAAGTTTCTCTGTGACAACTTTATGTAAATGTTACTCTTTCCAAATTTTAATCATTTAGATATAAAACAAAACGCACGATTTTATCCGATTGAAATAAATACTTTCTCGTTACTTCTCGTTATCCCCTGTTACCATCTCTTTACCCTCGCGTTACAGGTACTTATTTGTTCTTACGTCATTACTTTCTCGTTATAATGCGGTTACTTTCGTTGCCATTCATTTTTCTCGTTACCATGTCGTTACTATATAGTAACCATGTCACTTGTTAGTGCGTCGTTATTTAATCGTTACGCAACAGTTACTAAGTCGTAACTTAATTGTTACCTAGCCGTTACGTTACGTTACGTTACTCAATTGTTACTCAATTGCTACTTTGTTGTTACTTAATCGTTACTTTGTTGTTACTTAATCGTTACTTTGTTGTTACTTAATCTTTACTTTGTTGTTACTTAATCGTTACTTAACCATTACTTAGTCGTAACCTAATTGTTAACGTTTAATTTTTTTCTCGCTATCATGTCATTACTTTCTCGTTAATTTTTCACTATATTCTCCTTATTTTCTCTTCCTACATTTTCAAAAATAGCTGCCAATACTCAGCTAAAGAGACACGCACAATGCGAACGTGAAAAGTACGCCAGAGACTGGCTGAAGCTTTCCTTCGTTCTCATGGCAAGCTCCCTTGACGCCAACTAAACCTTAACTCTATAGGATATATATTATGCATAAAAAAGCGTGACTCAGCATCAGAATTTATTTTCCTTTTTTGTTGATGCAACGGGAAAATAACTAGCAACGTTTTTCGAGGAAGTAACCTGTGACTGCAAACGGTTACTTTTTGAAAAATGTAACTGTATCAGGATCAAGTCACTTTTGGCAAGTTGCTTTCGATCAGTTACTTCCCCATCGCTGCTTTACGGGTGGTGGAAGCTTCAGGAACTCCTGCGATTCCGCGACCACGTGATCGCGTCTAATTTTGGCGGGAGAACCGCCTCTCAAATTTTGGACCCCAAGATAATTTAAGAACAAACTACTATGGTTCTGCTGCACAAAAACACGGAGGTTAATAGGGAAATCCTTCGCAGAAGTGTATCTCACCCTGCGAGTTTTTTGCTTCTGAGGTGTCTCAGGCAAATTTGACCGTTTCTCTAGTCTCGATTACTTGGAAGAGATTGCCAAATTTTCTGCGTCAGAGTTACTGTCGTCAGACCAGTCTTTAAAAAAAAAACTATAGGCAACAAATAATCCCGCGAACCCCATGAGATGAAATTTGACCGGGAAAGACTGCTTTGGGTTATTTAAAGCACCACATGACTCGGAAGCAAAATGTACTTTTTTCTCACGTTTTTCGTCCTGGCAGTCTCCGGCTCGGCCGGCTGCAGCTCCTCTTGCATCAACGCTTCCTACTTATTCTAGTGGTTCTTCTGAGAATGACAATAGAGAATGCAGGGTGAGGCAGATCGTAGTCCTTTGACTGGACTTGATTATTTCCGACTCGCTAAGTTTGTAGGAACTCTGGGTAGTTCTCTGTATCCATCGCCCACAGCGGGAAAGTGAAACTGCAGCTGAAACAGATGAGGTAAACATTCGGACGCGGTTTTTATATTCTGCTTAGCATCGCGTGTGGAAAATCGTCCCGGAGCACTTTCGCCCCAACAGCATCGAGGCCAAATATTAAGGAGAAATTTAAAATACCCGTCAATCCGGAGGCGGGGAGGAAGGGGAAATCCACTCCGGCGAAAGTGGAAGATATCTTCGCCAAAGAGAAGCTGAATGGGGTCCACGACGCCGAAGAAGAAAGGGATCGTCCTGACCCCGAAACGCCCCGTTGCCTGCATTTTATGAGCTTTGGAGGCGGCGATTACCTCAGGGTGATGGCTTTTCCCCGCATCGGAGGCATGAACAATACGAGTTAGTTGAACTGTAGAACTTCGGTACTTCAAGATGCTTCATGAAATTGAGGCTGTAAGCAACCATGCCGATTCCGCGAAGATGAGGGGGGATGGGGACACAAAAAAAATATAATCACGGAAGAGGAAATTGGCACTGGAGATTGACAATGGATACGGTAGCTTACGTCATGGCACCGCGTACTTCATGAACCCAAATATCGGTTAAAGAAGGAAGTAGATCAACTGAGAAATTTTCAGCAAAAAATCAGGGCGAACATTTCCGAGATGCTCATCTTCCTTGAGAAGTTCGAGCACTCATCGGGAATGACTTGCGAGAACTGCGATTCATTCGCTATCATTGGATGTCTTGTCTGTCCAAGTAAACGCCAGATGGCAGGGCAGCAGCTCGTTCATTTCCTGACCTTATTTTTTACCTGTAACTCATTACCTCGTGCACCGATTGCATCGAACACACGGACATTTTACATTACTAGTAATTTTTTATGCGATGGTACCCATGACGGCAGAAACAAGCAATGAGCAACTTTTATCTTCCGTTGCAAATTTACGTTTTTGAGAAATTATGAAAACGGTACGTAAGAGCATGTTTTGTCCGATGAGAGGGATAAATCCTCGGATGCTAAGGATTGAGTGTGAACATTTTCAGCGTTCTATATTCTGCGATTTGAGAGCTAGAGTGCTAACAGACACAGACAGATGAACAGTCGGACATATCGACTGATGAACAGATGGACAGACACGACGAAGGGCAATTTTTTGTGGTAACTGAAGCTTTTTTCGCATGTGCTAAATTTATCAAATTTTCTTTCGGTAAGCCTTTAGCTTTTACTTACCTTACTGCTTTATATTTCTATAACAATGCATAACTTGAACATATTCAATTTGCATCTCAAAGAATTGAGTTTCCAAGAGATGGCAAAATTCCCGGAAGAAATTAGCCATGAAGCGATTGGTGCATGCAATCAATTGGTGACCTTCGTGAGAAAAGAGAAGGCGGAACATTTGTTACACTCATCTGCAGCCTTCATTTCTCGACAGGATTGAAATGTTGGGATAGTCTGTTTACTATAGCACTGTATCTGGACTGCTAACATGCAGTGGAAAATATATTTAATTGGTTTTTACGGTATGGAAGACACGTATGCGACCGCGAGGTACAGAAACATGGATGAAAAAAGTACAGAATAAAATATTGACCTTGAGATAAAGGATGAGAGACAGCGAAGGTCAATCCCACGCATCCGTCAGGAAAAGTCACTGAAACGTTCGTAAATCATCCGTGATCATATCAAGGGGGAACTAGATTGAGGCTGAAGGAAAGAGCAACGAATTCGTTATGCGCAATTCCCGCCCATATCCTACCTTATGAGAACAACCTTGAAAAGAAGAAATTACTCAGAATCTTATGTACTACTCATGATTGCGATGCATTTTCAATTTCCTAATTTCCTTTTCCAGTAAAGGAAAGAAAGAAATACATTTTATTTGTATTTTCAACAATTAGAAGAAAAGAATGAATGCCGCACAGTGTAAACTCCTTAAAATGGAAATGACTGAGTTTATCACTGAAATGGAAACTCACCCGAAATCGATGGAACCCATCGGAGCAAAAAAAAACAAAAAACAAAAAACCACTACATAAAAATTGAACGCGAAAAAGCCACATTCCAGGAAGGACGGAAGTGCCCTGAGCGGTTTCCCCCTTCTCCCTTAAATTGCAACGAAGTTAATTCTGGTTTTAAAGAGTAATTCCCTTATCACACGGCCGAATCCGAAGCGCAGAACAAAAGAGTAGGGGATCCCCCAGCGGTCCCCTTAAATACAGGCTCCATCCTGTGTTGTTCCACCAGACATCCAAAGCCCCTGTGTCTCGCCTCCAGTGCCTGCAGCGTCCACTCTCAGCAGCTGACATGAAGTACTTTCAGGTGAGTCTTGCTTCTGCTTCAGTTGTGAAATATTTTCCAAGTTTACATTTTGTCCTCCTCTCTCAAACTTCTATAAACTTTTAGTTGATATAGCAACTGTCAAGCTTATAACTACATTTTGGTTTATGTTTACTGAGATGCATGTAATCATATGAGGACTCTCCTTCATCTTCCACTTTCAGTCAATTTGACCTAGGGCTTCGCTATTCTATGTTGAAGTATATTGAGCGAGGTAAATTTCCCAGTACTTTCAACCAGCGATATCTAGACTATATTTTCATTTATACAGTATTAATATAACCTGAGATGCCTGACGTAGGCCTACAATAGAACTATATATACTATATTGTGGGCACACAATGACTAAGACTGTAGCGGTACAATTTATCCTTACATCCGTGATATATGTACATGTTCATAATTTCAGATCGTAGTCGTGATCATGGCAGTTGTTTGCCTCGGCTCTGCTTTCCCCTATCCCGGACCAAGAGGCTACGGCAATGTCGGTGGAGGATCGGAGGGAGGTGCTTATGGTGGGTCATTCGGGGGTAGCAATCCCTTTGGAGGCGCCTACGGTGGGAACTACGGTGGAGGGTTTGGTGCCACCCAGGGTGGACTGGGAGGCAATGGAGGAGTTGGTGGAGGCAGTTACGGTGGGGGATACGGGGGTAGCTTTGGCGGCAGCAATCCCTTTGGAGGAGTTTATGGAGGAAATTACGCAGGTATGATTACACATAGTTTCTTTTTTTTATGCATCCCATTCAGCTCCTTCTGCACCGATGAGATTCTATCATGAATGCTCTTTCTGCAGGTGGTTCCGGTGTTACCAACGGTTACATCAATGGGTGAACCATTGAAAAATACCAAAGTCTTTTCTTGTGATGCTCAATGTAACTCTGAAGACTGTAAACAAGGATTTTCCAAATGAAATTTCTGAAAATAAATTCACAAATGTGAAAAGAGGAGTTTTTTGCATTGCTCCTGAAGCACGAAAGGAAACAACAAATATCGATGAGGAAAGAAGGAAACTGGTGTCCAGGAAATTCAATAATACTGCCCTGGATGAAAATATGTTAAATTCAAGGGCCAGAGAAAGGTCTGGATATGGTTGTGGGTTGGATGACATGGCACTGGACAGCTGAGTACCTTCCGGCATTGCATGACTTCCCTGAATATTTCACTATGGTAAGTCTTGGATATCGGCAAAAAAGAGAGAGTATTTTTGAACTTATAACTTCATGGCCGGTGAGCACATTTATTCCGACTCACGCGTCGAAATGCATCAGACGAAGGTTGACTCCTATATATCAAATCTCTGCTGCTCGATGCCATTTTGAACTGCGTCTTGATGTTGTTTGCGTAGTTCCGATCCCTTTTCGATCTCGTGGACTCCTTGAGATTTGGGATTGCATCTTCCCGAAATGTACGCTTTGTCATTTTGTTGTTCCCATGGAATATGTTTATGAATCCATATGGAGCCTCTGGCAACACACTGTTGTGAACTGTTGTCTTAAAGACAATATATGTTGTCATCATTAAGATGCTTAAGTCGAGGGGGTAAACAGCACTATCATCAAGACCTAAATTGTTGTGTCATCACAATGAATTGATCGCTATGCACTTACGAAAGAGCCCCATAGGATTAATAAAGGAACCTATCTGGACCTAATAGGAAAACCTGTTCGATTTTGAAACCCTAAAATCATAATAAAATCATATAATACTATAGGTGTCCAATAGAACATATAGGACAGGAAACTTTCATGTAGGAATTCAATGGATTCATGTAGGAATCCTGTGGCTTCTTCAGGCTTAAAAGATAGTAGATATGGAAATTCGATTTTTTTGCAGTTCTTGTTTCAGATGCCAGAAAAGTTTTAATAACGCATCGGTAGGCATATATGAGACTTAGAAAATATACAAAGCCGGTTTCACATGGTTCCATGCTGGGACCACTGGGAACGGTTGCTTAATCTGACAAGAATCGCGAATCGTCGAGGAAAATGTTTTTCATTCACCTGTGGGGAACCCAAAATCAGATTTCAGTTGATTGTTCTATTTCATGTTGAAGAACTCACTTTCGTTGCAATTAACATGATTTTACTGGTTGCTCATATTAACCACATGATTGCCTTTCCGCCCTCCCCCTCCCGGACAGTCGGGTTAATATGGGCAAGTGCAATAGTTCAAGTTTTCATTTTTTCATTTTTCTACATTTTAAAAGCAATTATTTCCAGACTGCACGCTTGTTCAAGAATCAGATTCCTTAAGAACTGTGAAATTTTGGCTTTTTTACTCATTAAACCTTTCATATCCCGCGCTAAAAAGCAGAAGCTCATATTCCCCCAGTCACACTGCGTGTTCAGCATCAGGTATATTTATTATATTAATTTGGAATATAAAACTATAAATTTCTTGTCTCCGAGTGAAGAGAGAAATGTGCACGTAAGAAATGCATGGGTATATGCGTAAAATAGGCATGCAGTAAATTCCTGACCATAAGGAACTGACTGATTAGGGACCAAAGGAGCCTCTCAGCCAAAAAAAAACCCATAAAAATGTCATTTGGTGTCTTGCAGAAAAAGATCTGGATTAAGAGGGGGAAAAGTGACAAATTGATTAGCAGTTTACCTCTTTCTACCAACATATGATGTCCCGTCAAAAAGTAATGCACGAAAGGTTTTTCAGAGCAAATTTTTTTCCTATTGTGAAATTCACTGGGATAATTTCCCAGTCCTAACCTGTTCTCCACGTTCTTATATCACGTTCAAGGCCATCGTCAGGCGATTTGTAAGCACTTGGAATTCCTTCACGGCAAAACTCGTTTTCAAGTCATTTTTTTAAATGGCATAATGGAATTCTCCTCCAAATGATGTGCCCCTTAGTCCATCCTTGAGGGCACCAATAAGGTCATAGTCTGAGGGTACAAGGTCCAGACTGTAAGCAAGGAGGGATAGCACTGTTCAACCGAAACAAGTGTTGGCCTCGTTTCTCGCACTACTAGCCTTGCATTATCGTTATGCAAGAACATTTGAGATTTGCCCAGGTTTGGGCAAGTCTTCATGCAACTTTTCAATATCTTGGGGGCAACAAATTAACGCTGCGCATCGACAGGGATACCTACAGTAGTTATGTGAAATCCACAAAGATGACACAATCAAGATAACGGAAGGCCTCACACAAATAGTGCGACAACTGAGACTATCGCCTCTTCCGGTTGGACTATGTTTCCCCACATTGCTTACAGTTCAGACCTGGTACCCTCAGACTGTCACCTTCTCAGTGCCCTCAAGTATGGTCTCGGGTACATCATGTGGAGGTGACGAAGAAGTCTTACATAAAAAAATGGCTTGATGAGAATAAAGGAGTTTTACGGTGAAGGAATTCAAGCACTTACAAAATGCTACACTCTTAGGAAAGAGTGAGCGATTTAAGAGAAAAGGAGTGAAGCTTGAGTTAGCGATATTACTCCCTAAAAACGAGGAAGTACGATCGATAACTACTCCTTTATATGAAATATAACTTTTTAAAACCGCGAAACGAAGGAGGTAGAATACTTTTAGAGCTAATTGCAAAAGGTTAGTGGTCATTCTCAGGAAAGAGAGAGGATTAATTCCTTGTTTTAAGGAAGTAAAATCACTAACTCCAGTTTCGCTCCTTTTCTCGGAAATCGCTCACTATTTTCAAAGAGTGTAGACGAAGCGCCTTAAACTTGACGACATTTACGTTGCAAAATAGGTAAGTCCTCAAGAAGAATTGGGAAGCTATCCCTGTGAAATTGGTTGGAGTAGAAGAAAAGTTGAGGTTGAAACAAAATGGTCGTGCAATACTTTTTGAATGGTCACTCGTAGGAACAAATTCTGAGACAAAGGAAATAATGAGAAGGATTATCTATTGTCGTGCGTCGATTCTAACAACGTTTTCGATCTACGTTCTCCGTTAGTTTATCAACAATCTGTTCGAAGACCTTCCAGGAAATACATTCTAGATTTTCAACGATGAAAGTGCAGAGAACTTCATACAGACGGGATACACTAGAGAAATTCAAACAGCAGCATTTATCCTCGAAGAAAGAAGGAAAACAGCACAAAAAATAGAAAAAAACAATCGAGGAGTATATCAGAGATAAAAAAATTTTCCCACAGAACATACATTCGAAACGGCTTCTGAACAGTAAAAACCACATTCCCAGAAGAGCGGAAACGTCCTCGGGGGTTTTCCCTTCCACAATTAATTTTCAAAGAAGAGGATCCGAGATTCCGAGATATGAACGGGGGATTCCCTGACCACCTGTCGGAAGCCCCCGCGAATAGCAATGGGTTGGGGATCCCCCGGCGGTCCCCTTAAATACCAGCTCCTTCCCCCCGTTCGACCACCAGACATCCCAAGCTTCTCTACGCCTCTGTGTCTCGCCTCGAGTGCCTACAGAATCCACTCCCAGCAGCCGACATGAAGTGCCTTCAGGTATCGTTTCTGTTTCTGCTGTGAAACGTCTTCCAAGATTACGTTTTGTCCTCCTCTCTCAAACTTCTTTTAACTCTTTGCTGATGATATAGCAGCTGTTAAGCTTATAGCTATTTTGGTTTATGCTTACTAAGTGATGTGTAATCATATGAGGATTCGCCTTCATCTTCCACTTTCAGTCAATTTGGCTTAGAGCTTAGCTATATTCTGTGTTGAAAAGTATTTTGCTCTATTTCCCTGTACTTCAAACAGCAATTTCTAGCCTATATTTTCATTTATACAGTATTAGTATAACCTGAGATGCCTGACGTAGGCCTACAATAGAACTATATATACTATATTGTGGGCACACAATGACTAAGAATGTAGCGGTACAATTTATCCTTACATCCGTGATATATGTACATGTTCATAATTTCAGATCGTAGTCGTGATCATGGCAGTTGTGTGCCTTGGCTCCGCTTTCCCCTTTCCCCGACGAAGGGGACATGGCGGAGTCGGTGGAGGGGCTGTGGGAGGTGCCTATGGTGGGTCATTCGGGGGTAGCAATCCCTTTGGAGGCGCCTACGGTGGGAACTACGGTGGAGGGTTTGGTGCCACCCAGGGTGGACTGGGAGGCAATGGAGGAGTTGGTGGAGGCAGTTACGGTGGGGGATACGGGGGTAGCTTTGGCGGCAGCAATCCCTTTGGAGGAGCTTATGGAGGAAATTATGCAGGTATGATTACATATAGTCAATTTTTTTAATGCATCCCATTCAGTTTCTTTTGCACGAATGAAATTCTATCATGAATGCTCTTTGTGCAGGTGGTTCCGGTGGTACCAACGGTTACATCAATGGGTGAACCATTGAAAAATACCAAAGTCTTTAATTGTGATGCTCAATCTGACTGCAGAATGTGAACAAGGACCTTTAAAGTGCATGATGAAAATAAATTTGAGTGTGACAGGAAACGCTTGCTTTTTTAATATTCGAAATCATGCAATGAAACACGATGAATTTCAAAGACAAAATAAGGAAATGGATGCATAACAAATACAATTATTACTGCCCTGGGCTAAAGCATGTTAAATTCGAGGGTCAGAGCATGTTCTCGTTATGGTTGTGCGGCGGATGACATGGCACTGGCCAGTTAAGTTCCTTCTAGCATGGCATGACTCCCCTGAATATTTCGCCTTGGCGTGCCCTGAATATCCATGCAGATGAAAAGAAAGGGCCATTAAACTTATAGATAAATCGCCGGTGAGCGCATTTCAGCAAACTCCCACGCCGTAGAGCATCAGACAATCGTCGGTTTCTATACCAAGCTCTCCAAGTAGCAAGGGATCATCCCTGGGACATCCCATTTGGATCCTACGTGGACAAAATGACATCCCATGGATGTCATTATGAAATCGTCCCGGGATATTGAAATTCAGAGGATATTCAGAGGATATTCCGTAAGGTTAGAAATACTCTCGTCCCATACACCAAATTCTTAGTATGTCCATATGACATCCGTTGTGGGATGTGGATGTGTCCCATCTTAAGCCTTACATGCGACTCTTTCTAGTATGTCGAATGAGTCTCACGGGAATAACATAGGAACCTATATGAATCTCTTAGGAATCCTATTGGATTTTGTCATTCTAAAAGCATTTAATAACAGCATATAGGTATCCTATTAAACGTTTAGGATAGGAAGCTTTCTGTTTTCCAATAGGATTCATGTAGGAGTTCTAGAGTTACTTCAGGTTTCAAAAAACTATAGTATTTATAAAACTATAAAACTATAAAATATTTTCGAGGGGTGTATCTTTAGTTTACTCGTTTTTTTCATATTATAGTGTGATATCATAGCTGAGGTAGATATGTTGACCTCAACGCCAGTTAAGAGGGACAAACATTTTAATTACAAGCAGGCTTTAAAAAAAATCAAGCTATTGACTTCAACATGCTGTAAATCATACTGCAGTGCCTCGATTTGAGTAGGTTTTTAGGCACACATGAGGCAAATCTTTTGCTTTAGGTATACATTTATATGTTTTGATATCACGAATTTCTTGTTCCATCAGGATGAAGACGGTCGCCTTTATTCAGTAAACTGCTGTAATAGGCCCCAGTTGCTGTTTGAGTTTTAGGAGCGACAGCTATCTTTAATATCACATTTAATTTTTTGTATCAATGTTTTAAGATGTGTTTCTTCCTTTTTGCACTTTTTTTTACGAAAAAAAACAGTGCTGAGCTACTCGCATAAAGACTTGGTGGAGATGAAGACCTGACGAGTCTAAAAGGGATGGGAAGGTAGAAGAATAATGAACGAATTTTCTGAAGAAAATAAAAAAAAAAACAAACTGGTCAGAAGTTGTGCTGAAGGCATTCTTCGGATAGTTGATGGGACGGGATCAGCCACTGGAAAAGAAGGTAGTGGAAGTCCCAGGACCCAAGGAACTGAAGAGAATGTTGAAGAAGTCGAATAGTGCGTGTTGAGTCTGGAGGATCAACCTGGAAGTTTGTTTTCCCAGAAAATGCATTCATTATTCTTCGTGCTTTCCATCCTTTTTAATCTCGCAACTTCTTGAGCACCGCCAAATCTACATGTGAGTAGCTCAGCATTGCTTTGTTTTCTTAAAAAATAATAAGGGGGAAAAGGAAGAAATATCTTAAAACATTGGTGCAGAAAATTGAATTTGTTTGAACGTGAGGGCAATTATGAGGGAAAATAGGGTAATGGAGATAAAGGGGCTTTTAAGCTAACGAGCTCTTTTTCTCCCATAGGAATCCATGTATTCTCAAAGGACCGTTACCTAAAGGAAGTTTCAGAATTTTGGGCCTAAGTCTTCAAAAAGACTTGGGGAGTTATCCCTGTGAATTTCGTGGCAGTAGAAAACAAATTGAGTGAAAAAAGAAATTGTCGTGCATTGCTTTTTAACCGGCCCTTGTAGATACAAAATTTAAAATTTGAGGAAGGATTAGAGGGAACGTCAATGGTATTCAGGCGATTCTCACGACGATTTCGATGTACGTTCCCCAGGCTCTCAGCAGTCCATTGGAAGACCTTGTATGATATGCATTTTAGCCTTTCCACGAGGGAATTTCAATGTCAACTTCATACAGACGGGATACACTAGTCAAACTCAAACAGCAGCACTTTTTCTCGTAGTAATAAAGTAAACTGCACTAAATAAAAAGCTATTTAACCGATCGAGGAAAGAGGTAAAATACCCAATGATGGGCCTGTTAAGGGGATGTACTCAATGATGGGCCACGACACAGGAAAATTCCAAATACTTGACAGTTGCAATATGAACATCTCTGAAATGTGTAATGTTTGCTTGTCGTTAGTCTGTCATTACAAGGATGGGTACTGTGGAAGCTTAGCTGTTGGAATTTTTATATGCTGTGGCCCATCACCGAGTATTTTACCCTATATCAGAAACAAAAATATATTTTACTCATAATGTACGTTCAAAACGGCGTCTGAATAGTAAAAACCACATTCCCGGAAGTTCGGAAACGCCCTCGGGGGGTTTCCCCTCATCCGTATATTTAAAACGAAGAGGATGAGATTCCTAGATATGAGGAGGGATTGCCTCATCACCTGGTGGAAGCCCCCGCGAAGGAGAACGCACTTGGGAATACCCTGGCAGTCCCTTTAACTCAGATATGCTTTGCGCTGTATATGGAGAGCGCATTTACATACATCTACATAATGTACAAAACGACCTGCAGGTGTCTGTATGACCGAATTTTGTCTGGGAACTCCTTCAAGGTTTCCCAACTGATTTTCATCATCGATAGCTCATTCGATTCGTAATATTTCACAGATGTGCAAACTCATTTTAGATTTTTCTTTACACCTGACCTGACCTGACGCGCATGACCTTTCCTATTAAATTTGAAACCAATTTCTGTTTGATACGTCATTCGAAAGCCCTTAGTTTCCTCTGATAGAATTCTTTCTTTGCGTTGCAGAAAGTTAACGCGTGTATTCTGCTGCGATCATTCTGAGTTGAGAATGCACTGGCGCCATCTCTGCACAGTCAAGATAACTGCGTTGAGACAGCCGTACAGTACCAATTTTCAGCACTTGACTTCCAATCGGAGTACACATTCCTTCTCGGTTTTGCTGAAAGGTGTTCGCCATTCGTTCGTCATTCTCTTCATCAGTGATTCTCTCAGTAACTGTAATTTTATCACAACTGACTCAGCAAACATTGTTCTTTCATCTAAAGTGATTTTTGAAGCGTAGGAGGAGATCTAATTTTGACTTCCTAAGGACAAACGCCTAGCCTCGATATACGTACCAAGAATTTGACACGGACAATGTCTTGGGGGCAGTTCCCAAGTGCTATCAGTCATGATTTTTATTAATATTGAGAAGTGCATTTTCTCGGGTTTTAAACTAGTGTTCTACGGTAAATTGAGACGCATCTCTGCACACCGTCCCACATTTAGAACGCTAGGCAGGTCTGGGTTAAATACCGGCTCATTCCCCCAGTTCAACCAAAAGACATCCCAAGCTTCTCCAAGCCTCTGTGCCTCGCCTCGAGTGCCTACAGAATCCACTCCGAGCAGCTGACATGAAGTGCCTTCAGGCGAGTCTTGTCCCTGTTTCTGCTGTGAAACTTCTTCCTAGATTATATTTTATCCTCCCTTCTCAAACTTTCTCAAACTCTTATTTTATATATCAACAGTCAACCATGTAGCTATTTATGTTCATGCATACTGAGTTATCTATCTCTATAAGCAAGGATCTCTGTCTGTTTCTGTCCATCTGACGCTATGCATTCGGACACCGTTGGAGATATCGACCTGAAACCTTCGCAGGAGGGTGGGGTCTGTCCAGTAGCAGGTCATAGGGGGATCGGGGTCAGGGGGGGCGGCTCCGGGAAAATGGTCAGAGCAGTGCTCCCGTCCTCGTCGGTCTGGCCGGACTTAGACAAATAAGCACTAACAAAAAAGCACATAAAAGAACAACAGCTATATTACTCCTAAAAAAATATCCCGGGCAACGCCGGGCAACCCAGCTTGTATAATTATATGCTGACCCGCCTTCACATTCCACTTTTAGCCAATTTGGTCTAGAGTTTAGATATATTCTGTGTCAAAGTATATTTTGCTCGGTATATTTGCCTGTACTTTCAAACAGCATTTTCTAGTCTTTATTTCCTTTCATTTCAAAAGTTTTAAAAACTCTCTGATGAGCACATATGAGACTAAAGAAACATTCATATCACTTGAACCCAGTGAATTTTGCTGGGAGCACCAGGCACGATTCCTTAATCTGGAGGGACTCGCGAATTGTTTTCCAGAAAGAAGATTCCAAATCCAAAGAGATTCCAGAAATTTCAGTTTTTAAATCGATTGCTCGAAATCGTGTTCAGGAACCCAGGTTAGCTTCAACTTCCGTTCAAGCTAACCTGGTAAAACCAGGTTAGTTACCGTTTACACTTAGCAAGTGGGATCATTCGGGAAGGTGCAATATTTATTGTTTCGGTGATTTCTTTTTCATTAAAGCTGGAATTATTGATGTTTCCAGATTTCATGCTTATTAGAGAACGAGGAGTTGTAACATTGGTGAAGTTTTGGTTTCTCTATCCAACAAATCCTTCACATCAATACTTAACAAGGACATTTTCTCCGGAGTTACACGAAATGTCACGGAACAGGAATATTAATATACAAATTTAAAATATACTTTTTGTGTGCAATGAATAAGTAAAAATATATGCGATTGAGAACTGCATACTCGTGCATGAAATAATAAAGCAATAAAATACTGAACTTAAGAAAAAAATGACTGAATAGGACCAAGGAATGGTCATCAGCAGGAAATAGCATGAAATGTCAATGTTCGGCAGAAATAGATCTGGATTAAGATGGGGAAGGGTGATAACTTGATTTTTCACGACAACTACTTCTTTCTCCATAGAATAAAAAAGAAACTTTGAAATGGGGAAAGGTATCAAAACGAACATTGTCTTTTGTTGATCCATTCCGACGACGATTTCGATCTCCTTTCCTCCGGTTCTCAGCAATCGAATGATTTTTCGTGAAATGCATTTTAAATTTTCCACACGGGAGATCTAATGTCAACTTCATACCGATGGGATTCACTGCCTGAAAGTCGAAGAACAGAAGTTATCCTCGAAGAAGGCGGGAAAACTTTATAAAAATCTGCAAAAAACTGGTCGTGGAGTAGTTTCGAGCCCAAAAAAATTTACTCAGGAAATCTATCTGAAGCGGCCTCTGAACAGAAAAAAAAAAAACACATTCCTAGAAGAGCAGAAACGCCCATGTGGGTTTTCCTTTCTTGCATTAAATTACAAAGAAATGAATCCGTGATTCCGAGATATGAATGGGGGATTCCCTGACCACCTGGCCGAAGCCCCAGCGAAGGACAACGGGGTTGGGGTTCCCCCGGCGGTTCCCATAAATACCGACTACTTCTCCCCGTTCAACCACCAGACATCCCAAGCTTCTCCAAGCCTCTGTGTCTCACCTCGAGTGCCCGCAGAATCCACTATCAGCAGCCGACATGAAGTGCCTTCAGGTGAGTCTCGTTTCTGTTTTTGCTTTGAAACTTCTTCGCACTTAAGAATTTGTGCTCCCAATTAATCTCTCGCAAACTCTTATCTGTACGTCGTAGTGCGTACTCAGTGATATATATTCATATTGGGATTCGATTTAGCCTTCCAGTTTCAGTACTTTTGCCCTAGAGGCTCACTATATTATGTATTAAGGTATATAGAGTTAGATATATGTGCAGTGCTTTCAAGTAGCATTTCCGCGTCTATTTTTCCTACAGTTATATTTATGTAAACTAAGAGGTCTTTTTCCTACAATAAAACTGTATATTATACTGTAATTATCAACGACACTGTATATATACATAATATTATAAATAGGACTACTGCGACACTATTTCTAGCATCCATGAAATATAGACATATGTTAATAATTTCAGATTGTAGCCGTGATCATGGCAGTCGTGTGCCTCAGCTCCGCTTTCGCATATCCCGGACGAAGGGGCTATGGCGGAGTCGGTGGAGGGTCGGTGGGAGGTGCCTTCGGTGGGTCCTTCGGGGGTAACAGCCCCGGTGGCAGCTACGGTGGGAACTACGGTGGAGGGTTCGGTGCCACCCAGGGTGGACTGGGCGGTAGTGTTGGTGGAGGCAGTTACGGCGGTGGATATGGGGGGAGCTTCGGCAGCAACGGTCCCTTCGGTAACTCCGGAGGTAGTTACGCAGGTATTGCACATAATCCATTTGTAGAATCACCTCATTCCGTTTCTCTGAACCGATGAGATGCTTATCTGGGTTATTTTTCCTATAGGTGGTTCCGGTGGCACCAACGGTTACATTTACGGGTGAACCCGTGAAAAATATTGAAGTCTTTCTTTGTGAATGCTCAATGTGACTCTGAAGACTGTGAACGAGGACCTTTTAAATGAAAGATGAAAATAAATAATTGATTGCTAATAGACAAACGAGTCTTTTAGTCTCGCTTTGTTGGTATAGAAAAAGAAATCAAAGAAGGGAAACGGTTGAGCGGACATGATAGAAAATTCAATCAACTCGAGCGACCGACGGGGCAACTTGCAATTCGAAATTGCTCTGCCTACAGCGCTCCAACCTCATCAAGGGCACAAGCCCGAATCTGATAAATCATTGATGAGGGGCCTGATAGGGCCATTACTTCCAGATACCAGTGCTCCACCAATTACACCCTATTGGGTTCAACGTCTCATCGAAACCCGCAACAGCACCTAATTCGATTTGTGGAACTCCTTCGTCGGGTAGTCGGAGCTAACGCCTGCCGTTGTATTCTCTACCTGATAGACGTCCCGAATTTCAACTTCGTTTATCGCTTCCTGCGCAGTAAGTGGCCTGGGATGAAAGATTGCTGTGATTCCCGATTGCGTACACTTTCTCGATTTTCCCTGATGGCTGCAGAAGATAATAAAGAGTCATTTATCGTGCCAACCATCACATCCTTTTCCCCGCTCCCTCATTTGTGGACCCCTCGCTCGGTTGGTTGAAAAGAAAATGGAATTCCAGCAGTGAATGTGGATTCCCCCTGTTAGAGCGGGAACGAACCGTGGACGAGACACTGGCGCGGCAGATAATATTCCATCATTCCGCCAATTCGGACTTCATCACATGCCGATTCACCCCTGAAACTGCAACGATATTTCAGTCAGTTTACTGGGGGACTGTAGTGGTTGCATTCGTTGTCCAACATAATACGCAAGGACAGGCGTAGAGACAACGACTCTGGGGAAGTCGCTTCTCACCATGGACGAATTGAAGATTTTCTCACTTTCAGGTGGTGATTGCGACTTTTTCAAAAAAAAATAACAGGAGACTTGTGCAGCTGAGGACTGATGAACGATGTTCTCATATTTTTTCCCAGCCACAAGATCGAATAATCTCGCAGCTGTCATTTTCCATATTCCTTTCACGTCCTTTGCAATCTCTTGCCAGCGCGAAGGGGGACATCAGCTGTGCAAAATAATTGGCAGACTCATCGCGTCGAGCCAGCTGACTTCCAACTCGCGAAATATAACACTTGGCAGGTCTCATTCTGCCGAGGAAAGGGGTTGACGCCAGCACGAAGTGAAGGGAACATAAAATGCGGAGACGGTTCAGCCGCACGACCAGCGGTGAAATGAAAGTCAAATGACCTTTCGATTTTACAACCTGCACGTTTTTATTGCCTACTTTTTCAAATCAGCATTGTAGGTTAGGAGTATGATTGAGTCTGCGGGGGAAAGCTGAGTTCGTCGAACATTCTGCAACATTCATGCTGTCTATATTTAATTGCTTGTAATGAATTTAATTGTTTTTACCGTAGCGGTGTTGGGGAGAATATGAATTAGGAAGCGATTTGGGGTCTTAAATAGATTTTCAGACAGTTTAAAATGGGGGGACAAACGTCGTTCCAACGCCTTACCCGTTTCGATGCTTCCTTTCTCTTCTTGCTGATTAAAAAAAAAATCCTTGGGAAAGCATTGCGAAGGGTTTCACGTTCCCACCGATTCGCTCCGTTTTTTCCATTCCCGCCCAGTCGAAAGGAAGCGGAGAGTCTTGCATGAAGTACATTTCCGTTTTATTCCCGACAGCGGGAAAAAAAAAATTACACACACTTGATTCATCGGCTGAAAGACAAAAGGTAGCGTCAAACGGCTTGGATCTGTCGTTGTATCTATCAAAAAGCAGAAATGAATTAAAGTTAGAGAGTTGAAAGATGCTGAAAGATAAGAAAAACTCCAGTCTCAAACGGCGGAAGAGTCCTTCCTTTTGATTCTCGATTGCACCGGCGACAATATCATAGAGGGATGTCACTGAAGCGGGACGTCATTGGAACGGTGTGTCACTGGAGCGGGATGTCATTGGAACAGTATGTCACTGGAGCGGGATGTCATTGGAATGGGATGTCACCGGAGCAGGATGTCACTCACGGTCATCCCTGTGCACGATGATGCAGCAGCCCGCCCTGGGCCCTGCGTTCCCAGCCGCGAGGCTCTCCTTGTTCCCCCCGCGACCCAGGTCGTCCTCCTTCTCGTGGACCACGATCGCCCTCCCCAGTACGTTCGTCTTCCCAGAGAGGCTGATGATGTCGTCCGTGATCCTCACCCTGGCCTTGTAGTCCGTGTCCGCCACGATGTTTCCCAGGTCTCCCACGTGCCGGTTTCGGTCCTCCTGCGCTCCGTGGTCGTTCTGGCAGAGTAGAACGTGCGGTTTCAACCTTCTCATCCGGTATATAAAATAAAATTCAATAAAATGCCGAAGTCGTGGCCGGAAAAATATTGTACCACTTTCACGTGGTACCGCTAGATGTATCACTTTCCCTCTGAAGCTGCAAAAACTTTTCTCCCTGATAGACCAGTTTTCCTTTGAACCTTTCAATTAGTCATATTCACTTATCATAATTCACTTTCACGATTTTTTCACCGATAATAATACTAGCTAATAACGACGGAACAATACATGAGCATATATACTAGTATTATGCACTGCACGATAAGAAACATGAACTTTTTTTAAACTTTTATTCTTTTAATATCTATCTTTACTACTTTCATAATGACATTTTCCATTTCTTTTTATTTATATATACATTAATTTATTATTATGATTTATTACTTCTCTTATTTAAGATGGAGACAAAAAGTTTTTTACGTTTTTTTATGGAGCAAGAAAGGTTATTTCGAACAGTACGTTTCCGGCCCTACAAATGACTGTAACGCTCGGGTGGTCAAGTACCGATTTCCAAAATATAATAACTGCCTGAGCGTGAGATCATTGACTTAAGGTAACTTTTTATTTTGCGTTTCGATGCTCAAAATAAGTATGGAATTGTCAGCGGGAGGGTGCAGTGACCCCAATGACCCTCAATGACCAGCTATGACCCACAATAACCTGCAGTGACTCGCAATGACCCGTAATGACCCGCAGTGACCAGCTATGACCCACAATAACCTGCAGTGACTCGCAGTGACTCGCAATGACCCGTAATGACCCGCAGTGACCCTCCAAGTGAAACCTTGACGGCCACTGCGCCGTCCACGCTGCATCCTAACGATCTCGAGCGGATTCGACAGCCGCCGAAGGCCTCAGACGGAGAATCCAATACCAGTCCAACGCCCCCTCCCGCTTTCAGAGCCAGTTCATCCACAAGCCTGTGATTGTAGGAGGCAATGGCCTTGAATTGCACTCAACACCGAGGTACTCAGTACTTGTGATTTAGGCGACTTGTAATTTAGACGCCTCGGGTGAAAGTGCGAGTCGTCCCGACAAGCACTCAAGCAATCGCTCGAAAGCACTCACGCGAGCGTGCGTACAAACGGACGAATGTGGAGGTGACGAAGAAGTCTTACATAAAAAAATGGCTTGATGAGAATAAAGGAGTTTTACGGTGAAGGAATTCAAGCACTTACAAAATGCTACACTCTTAGGAAAGAGTGAGCGATTTAAGAGA